CTTAACTCACACCGCACACTTGGAGATATTTGATAGAGTTCTTGATTCTGTATAACGAAGTTAGAGTCAATCCCTTCAATAAGCGTTGTTGTTTCACTTCATTTATACTCAATGCAAAAATAATAGGGTGTCCATCGAATCTTGCCATAGCAAGGAATTGATATCCTCTATTCGATACCACGATTGATAGTAAAACTCTTCCAAATATCTAATAACATATGAAGGTATACCAAAGTAAATTAAGGAAATGTAGAATACTCCCTAAAAAAAGATGTTGTAGGTGTTGTGGCTGTTATCTATTAGGCACTGACTAATTTCTAGAGTTATTGACTTTTTAAACGACATAAAAGATGTTGCTTTGAACATAACCTCTAAATAAATTTCTTGATATTATCTTTTATTATTTTATTTATAATATAACTTAACATTTTTCAACTTATAAATGATGACATGTTAGATTCTACTTTTAAGGTTGTACCATCTACATATATTCGTTTTTTTAGGACAAGAAGGATCATGGTTTACTGTATTATTTAGAGAAAAACTGTTTAGGTGACATTGTAGATAAATATTTTTTTTATTGATTTTTGAAGGTTCTAATTATGAAAATGAATATATTACTCTCCCCTTCAATCATATTATCAAAAACTCATTACTTTTTAAGTTTTACTAGTATCAAATCATACTACATAACTAAGGGATTGTGCTCGAGTAGAGCTAGTCAAAGTTGATTATATGAAGAGTGTTGAGCCATCAATATTTCTCTCTATCTTGCCAATAATTTGAATCACACTCTAACTCCTCTCAGACTATGCTTTAGGATTGTTAGTATTTTTTCTTCAACTACTAAATTTAAATAAACCTTTTATGTTTGAGACTTACTCCTATTGGCATATTCTCCTCACGCTTTTTTGTATTGTCTACGCCTACTCATAGTTCTATTTAGTCTTTTATATTATTTATAATGTCTTAGATAATATATTTATCTCAAATTTTTATATCAACTAGAACTCTAATACTTGTTATGATTTTTTTAGCTCATTCATCGATTTTCAAGTCTCTTTGAAGATTGTAGAGATGATATTTTTAATGAGGAAGTTCTTTTATATTTTTTATGTCATTTTTTATTTTTATTTTTATTTTATGGTTTAGTTCTTAAATCTCTATCAAAATCTTATAAGAGATTTTGTTCACCACATGACCAAGTGGCCAAAAGATGACACTAAAGAAGTTAAGATCCAAGAAAAAGACTCTTGTTAAGGCTGAAAATTGCTCCAAAAAGTTGGAGAGTTCTCTTCCCAACTTTACTACTAACATGTTGGCTGCTACCTAAGAACTTATTGTTGCGCTTAACTCTAGTCATATCTCATCTTAAGAAATTATCTCCATCCTAGAGTAGAAAAATAAATTTGGAGAAAAGATGGATCAAAATGCAAAGGAGAGAACTAATCATGCACCTAAGCTGGTTAAAAATGGCTTAAGGATAAATAATTCAAGTTTGAATAACATACAAAAAAATGTAGCCTATTTAGAAAAGTTAAGAGTTTTATACTTATAAGAAAAGCCTTTTAAGAGGTTTATCTTTCTTTAGAATACAAATTATGTGGTTTAAAATCACTCAAACTTTGAATGATGATGAACTATTAAGTTATGATACAATGTTAGTTTTATTTTTATTTCTTACTACCCTGAAGTTACAAATCTTCAATTTCAATAAAATAAATATTATTAAATTATTTTAATTTTTAAACTAAGAAAAAATTTATGAGAGTTTTTTTGGTTACATAATTTAATATTTAAATCACCATATTATATATTTAAAAATTTCATTTAAAAAATAAAGTTTGGATGCGTATTTTCAGTATTAGCTATATTAATCATGTACATAGAATAAATGATAAATTAACATATTTTAGATTACAATTATGTGATAATAAAATAATAATTTAATAACAAACAATTTTATTTTTTTTTAAAAATAGAAAAAAAAAACTCACCCTCGCGAGATAATACTTTTTTTAAATATCACTTCTTTGTTCTTTTTAGTGAAAATACATATTTTTTTTTAATAAAAAAAATTAGTCTTAAATTTATTATTATTATTCTTTAAAAGAAAAACTTTAAGGGAACAACTTTCCAGTTCACTGAAGTTGGCTTTAAGATTGTTTATTATTTAATCTTGATAAGCGTTTTGTTCAAAATATTAAGATAGGATCAGGCCGGTTGTTTCACTGGAAAAATATACGTTTTCCGTATAAATAAAGAGTAGAAGCTAGAACGTAGAAAGTATATATACACATACATATATAGCTATAGATATATCAAAATAATTTTCAGCAGTAGTTAAAACGCCAATCAAGCTCCACTCTCACTCTCCCTCTCTCTCTCTCTCTCTCCCTCTCTCTCTCTCTCTCCAGAATCCAGAATACACTTTCGTTTTCTGGATAGAAAACAAAAACAAAACTAAAAAAATCTCAAGGAAAATCGAAGAACACAAGACGAAAGAGAGAAAACGGACTTAGCGATCAGATCAGCTAGAGGTCACTCTTTTCTGATATCTTTTTCTTGAAGCTTGGAGACGGAGATCAAATGCGACATATCTGCTTCCACTTTTCTTCTGAACTCTTCCAGGTGAGTCCGTGATGTTTCTCTTCTGTTTAATTTAATTACTACATAATAAGGTGATAATCTGTACGTTTTAAAAATTTTTTACTCACTTTCCTGTTGATTTTTGTCTTGGCTATGAAATTTAAGGCTTCTTCATCTCCCTTTTTATTATTGTTCGCTTCTCTTTTGGTTTGCTTTTCAACTTTTTTTTTTTAGTATATTTTTCGTCGTTAAATTGGATGAATTCCAGATCTGATCAGTCCTGTTTATGTTGACGCTTCTCTCAAACATATACTTCTATGTAATTATGGATGTATAGGGATAGTATTTATGCATATATCTTTATTCTTTTCTTTTTATAGCTAATAAATGTTTTCAGCAATGAACCTTCTACGAAGATTGCACTTCTCTCCAATTAAGCTTCGATGAAGTGATATTCTTGTTTTCGGATTTCCTCCTGTTCTCCTTAAATTTTCTTCCTCAATTTTGTAAGGCATTTGATTTTAGGGGATACGAACATTGAGAAGTGAAGCTACAAATGTATTTGCTTCTTTATTTACTATTTTTCCCCTGCGTCCACAAGAATTATACAAAATGAGTGTCCTAATCACGGATTTAGCATGACAGTTTGCTCCGTCAATGAACATAAGTTTTTTAAAATTAATTTTGTTTTCTTGTCAATATATGTGTGTGTGTGTGTATATATCTCTCATATAAATTGGCGGTGCAGAAATCATCCATGTGATTGAAGTGAACTGCTCTAATTTTTTTTTTTTGAAATAAACTGCTCTACTTTTTTATTAAGCCATTGACATGATGCTTTAGAACTTCTGAACTTTCTTCAGTAAATCTCCATTGTTTTAGAGTTGTTATTAATTTACTATAGCAAGTGATTCTCGAGAATAGGAAATCAACATATTATTCAACCACTATAGGAAGGCAAGGATACAGGATACAAGACAGGTGAAATTGGGGATATGGAAACTCTCTTTTCTTTTTGCAGAAGCTAGTTGTTAACAAGTATTTGGAGGCTTACAGGATTGCTAGTCTCATAAGTTTCGAACTACTTTCAGTTTCTTTGAACTTGAAAATTATGAATCCATGACAAAAAGAAAAAATTAAATTCATATCATTTATGAGAAACCACACAATTCCAATGTCCAAGGTTGGTGCCCAACCATCAATGTGGTTAGTACAAGTGGTTGTCAGGATAAAGGCTCATAAGTTTTGAAAAGCATTCAAGTTCTTTTTAAATTGTAAAATACAAATACATGTAGTCCAAGTGTCTGGATCCAGATGAAGAATTTAGATTTTTAATAAGTAGGACCTGATTTGTAAAAACCAAACATCCAATCTTGGTGCTCAGCCAACAAGACGTACATACGGGTCTGTTAGCATAAAAGCTTATAAGCTTTTGGATACATTCAGGTTAGTTTAGCTTGCAAAATATAATTACATGTAATTCAAATTCATGAATTCAAATGAAGCATTTTAGGCTTTTTCATATTTAGGAACTAATTTTCGCATTTAGGGACTTACTTTTATGAGAATCTAATGGTTACAAATCTAAAATCACATACGGACATTTTAGTGCAAGAGTCCATAGCTGTTGAACTACATTCTGGTTTTTTGAACTTAATAATTACGGTCGTGTAATTCAAATTCATGGATTCAAATAATATGACCTCATCTATAAGAATCTAAATAAATCCAAAGGTCCCATTAGTGGTGCTCATTAACCATCAGTTATTCCTTTTAATTGGTGAATTTTGCTGCCTTAACTTTGTCTTATGTTTAACAGCCTTCTTTACCATTGGAGTATTATTTTTGGTCACTTGTGGTTGTCTCCGAGGACTGATTTCTTTGAAAGTTATAGCATTTGTGTGCACAAGAGTCGTGAATTTTGAAAGTTTCTCCTTGCTACTTCCTCCACTCCATATAGTTGATCTAATGACTGAGCCAAGATTGGAAAAAATCATTTTTCTAAAATTTGTAGAATTCATTTTCAAATCCACGTTTTTATTCACACTTTTTTCTTTTTGGGTGAGGATTCATTTGTTCATAATATAGTATAAATATTCACCTAGTCATTCTACATGATATATATTTATTCTTTCCAAAGAAAACGAAAGTTACAAAAACCACCGTGTACTCTTGCAATGATCTCATTTAGGCTTTATTTTTTAATTTTTAAATTGAGGTACTTTTTAGTAAGTACTTTCTGCATGTTGCCAATAGGAATTCTCTAGAAAGAATTAAATGTTAATTTTATGATGAGTAGATATGTGTTATATGTGAGAGGTTATTGTTGAGGGCAAAACAGTAGTTTTCTCTATAGTAATAATAACAATATGAAAAATTCATAAATATCTTTTTTAAATAAGAAAAAATTCATAAATATCAAAATCTTATCATTCTTCTGCGGAAGATTTCAGGTCTTCCATAGTTTGTTTGAAATTCCTAAGCGTTCACTCCCCTTTTTTTGTAAAAGTACATTAACCTGATAGTGCTTTTAGAGTTAGCATTATGAAGAGCATATATTAATTTGAGGGAAAAAAAAATACAGAGATGAAGATTTAAGAATTTTTTTAAAAAAGGGTAAGGAGGTTTGTGAACGTGTTAATTTTTTAGGAAGGAAAGTTTTGGAGATTTGAGAATTTTAAGAACAATTATTACCTTCAGTATAAAAAAAAATTATTCATTTTCCTTTAAGAGTACTCCTCTGCATAACGCATCTATTCAGTTTAAAATTCACCCTAAATTAATGTTTTAACTTTTTATACAGTGTCTTATTGACATCATGCACTTAGTGTAGAGTGAAAATTATGTCTATTAATATTTTAAGGTGTTATAGATAAACTGCAGTATTTGTAACTTTCTTAAAGAAAAAAAAGAAATCTCGATTTTTGATTTCCCCCCTTGTCTTATAAAGCAGGAGAATTGAGAGAAGAATAATCGCTATATGATGATTTAGGTTCCACGTGGAGGAGAATCTGCTAAATCTTCTTATATATCTCCAGATTCTGTTAATGCTAACACAAGACTTTTGTAATTCTATTAGGACCATTGTTGCTTGGATGCGATGGGAGACAGAACTACAAAGACTCATGAGGGTGCCAAGTACTAGCTTCTACAATACTTAGCAGAAAATCATGGCATCTGCCAGCCTTGGAAATGGAGGAGTAGGCAGCTCAAGATCTGTCAATGGCTTCAAGAGCTCTTCTAGTTCAGTAGATTGGCTGGGGAGAGAAATGCTTGAGATGAGGTTGAGGGACAAGGTGGACCATGATGAGGACAGAGTAAGTAGAGCATTGCTGTTAACTGTTTTGAACTTCTTGAGTTTCCTTGTCATTGTTTGTAAATATTAAGCTTCTGTTGTGCTAAACCTGCCTGAAAATGGACATTGACAAGAGCAGTCTTGCAATGGACTAATCTATGGAGGTGCTGTCCTTGGTTAAATTAGTTTTGTGCGCTTGGATTAATTTTATAGGCTTTTCAAATTTTTGTACTTGTTGGCTATGCTTATAACTTCCTCTATTGCAGGATATTGAACCTGATATCATTGACGGTGTACGTGCTGATACAGGACATGTGATAAGAACCACTATTGGTGGTCTAAATGGTCAATCTAAGCAGGTTGGTAGAATTTTATAAAATACAAAATATATGTATAAAGTGGTCATATTATGTAAGATTTTACTTGTCTCTCAAGTACATGTTTGTTT